AATTGGTAAAGAAGTTTCAGCAGAGAGGTGTAATTTTATTACTTAGTATGAAAAGAACTGAGAAAGCAGTAAGTTTTTAGGAAGGTTCAAACATTGAGATATGTAGTCCAAATGAATGGGATAGTCCCATTTGAAGAAGAAACACTTCTAAAGAGTGGCATTGAAAATTCAAAAGAAACAAACAACAAAGAAATGCTTCATGAAGAACCTCAAAGAAATGTAAAAATTAACAATTTGTTTGTGATGGAAATTATGTCTTTGGCATTGTTATTTACTTATATCCCAAGACTTACTCATTCACTCCTTACTGAAGGAAGGAGTACAGTGAGTCTGGTCAAAAAAGTCAAGTGATGAGAATTGATCTTTCTTATTATTTATCTGTATTAGTAAATGTTCACAGTACATAATAGTCACATTCATCTTGGAAAGTTGGTACAGACAGAGCACATCTTCATCCTTTTTCATCCACTTCTCTGTCTTTCTCCCTCCATCCATCTCTTGACCCCAACTCTGGAAAAAGAACTTTCTCTTTGTTTCTACTATGTATTTTGTATGTTTCTCTTCAAATTATTTTTATGTTTAGTTACCCATATAAGACAAACCATGTGATATTTAAGATTGTGAGTCCGACTTTTTTTTTGGTACCGGGGATTGAACTCAGGACCTTGCGCTTGCGAAGCAGGCAGTGGAACCTCTGAGCTAAATCCCCGGCCCAAGTCCGTTGTTTTTAATTGTTAAACTGTTTCTTGGCAGTACAAGTTTTTAGTACAAGATGATTACATGTATGGTGAGGAGTTGGTACAGGTACATAATCTGTAATACGCTTTTCTCTTCCCTCCCTCCTTGAATCCACTGGGCCCCTTTGTGTATAGTTACAGTATGTTTGTAGTACATGATGAGCATTCTTGATAGGGACTTGGTGCATGTACACAGCACTTTACAGTTTGTCACTCTTTTCTGATCTCATTTCCCTCCCTTCCTTCCTGTTTCTGTTCACTACTCACATGCCAAACATTCATTTTTTTTTCCTACTGCCTATCTTTTATTCTGCACTTCAGTTATATATTGTGGTCCTCATATATGAGAAACCAGGTATTATTTAAGCTTGTGTGTCTTATTTACTTCACTTAATATTATGGTCTCAAGGTGCTTCCATTTTCCTACAAATGGTATTATGAATGGACTCTAGAAACTCATATTTTCTTTAATTTGTTCTGAGACTCATTAATGGAAGATTATATTCTCAAGTTCCCACAGTTTCTATACATTGTTGACATTTCTAGTGACATTGCCCTATGATCTGATAATATGCATGTAATAATTTTGATTCTATTGTATTTACATAGGAATGCTTTGTGGGCTAGTATATGGTAACTTAATTGACATTGCTGTCTTTAGTGTCTCTAAGATGCATAAAATCGTTAGTCATGAGCAGCATATGTGAACTTATGTCTGGGATGTGTGAAGTACCGATGCCAACACGTGCCCTTCACCATGGGAGAAACGATCACCATGACGTTTGTGGCTTTGGTGAAGACCAGTGTTCTCGGTGCTTAAATTTTCTTTGTAAGAATGGAGGAAAATCTTGGGAGAACAGAAACAATGATGAAATGTAGTAGTAACAATCATGTAGTCATATAAATAGTGAATAAATCATAACACAAAACTGAAGAAATTTCCTAAGCACAGACTCTTATTGTTGCCTAGTAAAACACAGTTTTTTTGGTGGGGAGGGGTTAGACAGGGTCTTCCTATTTAGTTCAGGCTTGGCTTGAACTCGCTATTTAGTCCAGGATACTCTAGCACTGCAATCCTCTTGCCTCAGCCTTTCATGTGCTAGGATTACAGCCGTGTGCCACTATGTCTGGCAGATAAAACACAGGTTTTACCCATGAATATCAATAAACTGAGCTACATCTGCAGCTTTTCATATTTTATTTTGAGGTAGGTCCCACTGAGTTGAACAGGTTGGTTTTAACCATGTAATTCACCTGTGCTTCTTGAGTGTCCTATAGACACAAACCAGTGGTAACAGCAAAATCTTTTGATGCTAAGTTGGTAGGAAATAAGTATGCTCAGGAAAAAATGACCTCTATTTTCATGTTTCTTCAGGCTGAAATAGCAGAATGCACTATGCAAAGTTCTGATAAGAATTAGAAATGAACTGCAATAAAATTAGCCACATTGTCCAAGCACGCAAGAGCTAACACTATGATCTGCAATGTAGTATAGTTCATGAAGCACACAGGATATCTAACATTTCATTGTGAAGGACATAATCTTTCAGCAGGTGTGCTGGTGAATGCCTGTAATCCCAGCACTTGTGAGGCTGAGGATGAGGGCTGCCATGAGCTTGAGACCAGCCTGGGCTACATGGTGAGACACTTCTCCAAAGAGCAAGATAAGTAAGCAGATGAGACATAGTTTTTATGATATTGCCCACCTGATGGCTGATCCGTCTAGGCATAATTAACTTGTTAGGGTGAGATACACTGTTCAAAATATTAGGGTTACTTAATGGGTTTGTCACTAAAGCTTTGACCTTGCATTATTGGAATAGTAAGTTGAGCAGCTACTGAATTTAAGGACAAAACAATGAGGAATATTCTACAAAGTACTTCATTTTTAGGAAATAAGGAGGCAACCTAAGTCAAGGAACGCCAGATGGTTTGACACTGAGAGCTTGTGCACAAGCCTCATGCAAGGCAAGTGACATCACTTCCTGCTATCAGTGTTACTTATTGATGAGGAAACATGCATTGTAAATTTATCTCTAAAGATGATAAAACAGAACACAAATGAATCACAAAAATTACTCCGCTTCTTTTTACTGATTTGAGCTTCCCAAGTTAAAAATTCATTTCTAAAGCACAAATGGTATTTGTAGCATCGAAAAAATAAAGACTGATTCATTACAAAGAATAAATTCTCTCAAAAAAAATTCAACAGTTTCAAAAATTCCTGTGAGAATGTACTTGCTGACAAATCATATCATCATTTGTATCTCATGGAGAGATTATTCTAATTAGCTGTATATTCTTTGAGAAAATATATGGTCCTGCTGGTCTCTAGCAGTGGAAGACTCACAAAAATAGATATTTTTGGAAGTGAATTTAGAAATTACCACCAATACAATCATGGCAATATGAGTTTGAAAAGCAAAATTTAATAAGAAAACTAGTATTGTACACATATGATAATGGTTCCGATGCAGAGAACAGGAAAAATTATGCATTGCATATAATCTGTGATTATGTTGGGATACAGAGATCTTAAGACTATTAAACACATGATATTTGCTGACACTTTGTTTGAAAACAGATGAACTCTTCAACGTGTACAGAAACTGCTAATAAAATAAAATAGGACATTCATTTAAAAAATTCTTGCTAAAATAATGAAATGCATACAGCAAAGTTTAAATACAAGCTAGTGGAAAAATGACAACTATTAAGGAAAATCCAGTTTTGGAGTCATTATTACTCCATAATTACTAAAAGCAAAAGGAAATGAAAATAACAAAATACTGAGCCTACTGGATGTAAGAAATACAAGTCAATTCACCTATGGATCTAACATAGGGTAAAATAAAGAAGACAGTTGTCATCTAATTTGAGTCGATATTAACCTCCCATGCTATTGCTTACAAAAATGTACAGAATTACGTAAGCACATTCAGAAAAGTGAACTTAAAATTACTTAATCCAGAGATCTCCTTTAAGACTGAGCTCACAATATATACACACACTACAACATCTCTGGTTGTGTATTTTCTGGAGAAATATTTGACATCTAACTTTTATACAATTTTTGAGGTTTCAATGACATGAGAAGTGCTCAAAAATTTGGAAATGAGTTGCAACAGAGAACTTTGTACATTTACAGGTGTTTCACACAGAATTCGTTCTTCAAAGCAGGTCAACTATTAACTTCTCTATGTCCCTTATATAAATAGTTTCCTTAAATACTGTTTCTTTGCAGTATGAATTAAACCAAAATGACTACAAGCATTCTCATGTAATGTACTGATATGAATTTTTCCACTGTGCAATGCTACATTTCATGAAAAGGCATGCAAAAATGAAGATTTCACATATTCTCTATTTAAATGACACTCATTCATGCGTACGTTTTCTGATGTTACAGGCATCACCAAATGCTTTCTCATATTATTTACAAAAGGTTCTTCTTTTTGGTGGATGGTCTTTCATGTATTTCAAGTTAAGTGAAAGAAAGGGTTTCCCTATATGAATGTAATGTTCCCATTCCTGTGAATTCTTTCATGTATTTAAATTAATTGAGAAAAAAAGTCTCACATCCCCCACTTATGTCACGATTCTCTTCACTATGAATTATTTCATGTAATGATGTCTGTGTGGACTGAAAAGTTTTGTTTACTACAAAAGGGTCTCCCTCATCTTATGCATGTCAGTGTAAGTCACTTCATATATTCAGTTCTTTTACTCACTTTTTTAAATGTGCATGATGCCTATTGTAGTAAGAGAAGGGTTTTCCTTGTTTACAGTTTTTTTCTGAAGTGCAATTTCTTTCATGGATTTGACAGTATTTCAGTGTATTGAATACTCACACCTTGCTTACACAGCATTTGTACATACATGACTTTTCATGTTTTTCACAGTAATAATGTGAGATGAAAGCTTTCCCACATTGCATATCAAGTTTCTCTCCAATATGTTTGTCCTTGTCTTTGATACTCTGTATGGGAATTGAATTCTTTCTCACATTGCTTACATACATAGGGCTTCTCCAGTTTTAGTCTCTTCATGTGTTTGACAATTTCACACACTGCTTACTACATATGGTTTTTCCCCACTGTGAGTACATTCATGTGTTTGACAAACAGCACGTGAGTTGAAGGCTTTCCCTCATTACTTACATACACAGGGTTTCTCCCTAGTATGAGTCTGTTGATGACAAATACCACCTATGCTGAAAGCTTTGCCACATTGCTTACATGCATAGGGTTTCTCCCCACTGTGAGTCCGTTCATGGGTTTGACAAGGTGTGTGCTGAAAGCTTTCCCACATTGCATACATAGGATTTCTCCCCACTGTGAGTTCGTACATGTCTTTGACAATTTCTGTGAGTGCTGAAAGCCTTCCCACATTGCTTACATACATAGGGTTTCTCTCCAGTGTGAGTCCGCTCATGTGTTTGACAATAACTGTGTGTGCTAAATGCTTTGCCACATTGCTTACATACATAGGGTTTCTCCCCAGTATGACTTCTTTCATGTCGTTGACAATTATCTTGTCTGCTGAAAGCTTTCCCACATTGCTGACATACATAGGGCTTTTCCCCACTGTGAGTCCTTTCATGTGCTTGGCAAATTCTGTGTGTTCTGAAAGCTTTCCCACATTGCTTACAAACATAGGGTTTCTCCCCAGTGTGAGTCCATTCATGTTTCTGATGAACACTAAGTGTGCTGAAAGCTTTCCCACACTGCTTACATGCATAGGGTTTTTCCACACTGTGACTTCTTTCATGTAGCTGACAAGTATATTGTCTACTGAATGCTTTCCCACATTGCTTACACACATAGGGTTTCCCCCTAGTGTGCGTCCTTTCATGTGCTTGACAATAACTGTGTCTGCTGAAAGCTTTTCCACATTGTTTACATACATATGGTTTGTCACCAGTGTGAGTTCGTATATGTCTTTGGCAATTTCTATGCTCGCTGAAAGCTTTTCCACATTGCTTACATACATAGGGTTTCTCCCCAGTGTGAGTCCGTTCATGTATTCGCCAACTAGCTTTCCTGTTGAATGCTTTCCCACATTGCTTACATACATAGGGTTTCTCCCCAGTGTGAGTTCTTTCATGAGTTTTATGAGAACTGCATGTACTGAATGCTTTCCCACATTGCTTACATACATAGGGTTTCTCCCCAGTGTGAGTTCGTACATGGATTTGACAATCTTTGTGTGTGCTAAAGGCTTTCCCACATTGTTTACATACATATGGTTTTTCCCCAGTATGAGTTCGTACATGTATTTGACAATATCTGTGTGTGCTGAAAGCCTTCCCACATTGCTTACATATGTAGGGTTTTTCCCCAGTGTGAGTCTGTTCATGTATTTGACAATAACTATGTGTGCTGAAAGCTTTCCCACATTGCTTACATATATATGGTTTCTCTCCACTGTGAGTCCGTTCATGTGTTTGACAATAACTCTGTGTGCTGAAAGCTTTTCCACATTGCTTACATACATAGGGTTTCTCCCCAGTGTGAGTGCGTTCATGTGTTTGGCAATGAGCGTGTGTGCTGAAAGCCTTCCCACACTGTTTACATACATAGGGCTTCTCTCCTGTGTGAGTCCGCTCATGTCTTTGACAATCTCCACCTGTGCTGAAAGCTTTCCCACATTGCCTACATACATAGGGTTTCTCCCCAGTGTGAGTCCGTTCATGTATTTGACAATGTGCATGAGTGCTGAAAGCTTTCCCACAATGCTTACATACATAGGGCTTCTTCCCAGTGTGAGTTTGTTGATGTCTTTGACAAACACCATTAGTGCTGAAAGCTTTCCCACATACCTTACATATATAGGGTTTCTCCCCAGTGTGCCTCCGTTCATGGGTTTGACAATAAGCATGTCTGCTGAAAGCTTTCCCACACTGCTTACATACATAGCATTTCTCCCCAATGTGAGTTCTTTCATGATCATCAAATAAATCATTGTTAGTGAAGAAATTTCCACAGTATTTATCTACACAGGTTTTTTCTCCACTATGACCTTTGTCGTGTGTCTGAATATCATGGTGGGAATTAAAACTTTTCCCGCATGGTATACATGGGTATGTATTCACTACACTGTGACTTTCTTCCCTGATTGGAATATCATTCAGTTCAATGAATGATTTCACATCTTGTTTATATATAAATGGCTTCTCTTCAATGGTACTTTCTTCAGTGCAATCAGAGAAGGCTCTTCCACATAGTATATATTCATGGGATTTCTCCGCAAGACTTGTCTTTGGATGTTTCTGAAAGCACTGGAGCTTTGTGCAGGTTTTCCCATGTGTGTTACAGTTAGAGAGCTTCTCTTGAAATCCCTGCTGCACATATGATTTGAGTCCAGAATCAGCTATGATGAGCCCATCTGCTGAGGAATGACCAATCATGCGCCTTCTAGAGAAAAGGCTTTCACCTGGATTCATACCAACTTTCATGTGCACATTAGTATCTGGAGTCCAATCAACCATTTCTCCATGCTGGTACCATAATTTACACTGACAGGATTTCTCTCCCTCTACACTTCTGTAAAAGGGAAAAGTAACAAAACAACCAATCACATTTAAAAGTACCTTTGTAGTAATGATTTACAAAGAGATCTGCTTTGATGTCCCTTAACAATATTTCATCGTGAATGTACTGTACACTCAATGATAGCTTGGAAAGAGCTTTTACCACAACAGTAGGATTCATTTGGGAATTTGCAGCTGACACATTTGCAATATACATTACTTGTCATTCTGAGGAATCAGAATATATCTTTATGATATACGTTGCACATACTGATGATTGTTCTACTGTTTCCTCCATGACCCCTTTCCCTCCTGGTTCCAGAACCTCTTCATCTACTCCAAAGTGTCTGCCTTTCTCTATTCTACCATCTCGCTTTTTTTGTAGAGCTTAATTCATTTTTGGGGATTTTCATGCAAAATGTAACTTGTTATATGGAAATTTCTGTGTCTGACTGATTTAATCAAACATTATGGGCTCTAGATCCATCCACACTTTAGTAAATCACATCGGTTCATTCTCCTATTGGATGAGTACTATTCTATTGTGTGTACACACCACAGGGTTTTCAGTGCTGGAAATTGAACCCAGGGTTTTAGCAATGATACATCCATGGGCTTTTTAAATTTTGATTTTGAGAGTCTCATCAATCATTAAATTACCCTGGCTGAGCATGAATTTATGATCTTCCTGACTCAGCTTCCCACAGTGCTGCGATTCCAAGCCTGCCCCTTTATGCTCAGGCTACCCCATGTTTCCTTAATCAATTCATCTGTGAATGGGCACTTTGGCTTTTTCCAGAGCTCAGCTTTTCTAAGTTGTGCTGTTACAAATGGGTATTTATGCATCATTGAGATATGAGTACTTTACCTTTGTGGGGAATATACACAGTACAAGTACAGCTGGATAAAATGGAATTTTTATTTTTCCTTTTTTGTGGAATCTGTATTTACATTTCCATAGATGTTATAGCACATTGACACTCCCACCAATAATACAGGCATGTGCCTTCTAACATTTTGGAATATGAATGGACTGCGTGCTTTGGAGGACTGCTTGAAAATAACTATGATCAAAACAGTCGCAGTCATTTGGATTTTTAATACATTCACAAAATTAACAATTTTTCAAATACTGAATGTGTATATCACATTTAACTACATTTAGTATCACTTATATAATTCCTCTGATATGAGAACAGTCTTTTAAACACACACAGATATATAATTAGAACTTGGCTCTCAGTGTATACACAAAATTTGGTTTATGTACTCCTATCCTGAATATCTCCATACAACCTCCTTCAATATATCTATACTTCTGAGGATGGAACATAATTTGTTCTTTTTGTTTTTTGAGAGAGGGTCTCATTCTGTAGTTGAGGCTGGCCTGGAACTCACCATGTGGCCAGGGCTGGTCTCAAATTTGTGAGGTCTTGCAGTTTTCCTGCCTCAGCCTTCCAAGTGCTAAGATTACAGGTGGGTGCCACCAGGCCTGGCTATTTCTTCTTTTACATTAGATCAAAGATGTCAATTTTGATATAATAGCACCACCTATGTTTCAGATATTGGAATATTTCGAATACTCAATTGTCAGATTAGAGATAGTTAATGCAAGTAAGTCCTTGGAGAAATTTTGTGAGATTAAAAAAATTTGAACACAGTCTTATTTGTGTAGTTTGCTTGGTTTTAATATTCTGACACTTGAGGAGCATTCTTCTGGTGAGTGCAAATTACCTTCGACTTTTCCTGCAAGTTTTGTACTCATCTTCAATTTGCTGGTCACCTGAGCTTCTTCCTAAAGTGCAGCAACAGAAATGTAATGAGGACTTACTGCATTACATGAAAATTGGTAGTTTCCAGTTAGATTCCCAGTAAAATGTGATCATGCCTGGAAGATGCATCACAATGCTTCCACCTTTCAGTTAAGGAAACTGCACTGGTGAGCACCAACCAAGGCTCTCTGACTGCAGAGATGAGGAAATGATATCTCCTTACCGATGGCAGCCAGGTTCCTAAGGGTTTCCCACATCACATCTCTGTAGAGCTTCTTTTGGGATGGATCCAGCAAAGCCCACTCCTCCCTGGTGAAGTTCATGGCCACATCCTCGAAGGTCACTGCCTCCTAAAGCATCAGACGTGTATTTACAGAAAGAAGCGTGAAATTCACAACATGAACCATCTCATCTCCTAATAGAAAGCCAATACGAGGTGAGTTTTCCAAATGTGTACTTCATGTGTTGGTCATGAAACACTTATTCTCCATACACATCCACATGTCACATGAGAATTTTGATGTTACACTGGAATTTACTGCGAAAGCAACCATGCAACGGGAAGCTGGGTAAGCCCAGGTTTGTGTGTACACTGTCTCTCAAGCATGGTTCTCAGAGCCCACAAAGTTAGAATCCAAGGGGGCCAGGGATTTAGCTCAGTGGTTCTGCCACCTGCCTTGCAAGCACAAGGACCTGAGTTCGAACTCTGATACCAAAAAAAAAAAAAAATTAGAATCCAAGTGAAAAAAGTAAGGCAGATAAGTATGTGAAGATTTACTGAGAGATTACAGAAAAAGTCATTTTTCTAACCTTATTATTTAGGGAATTCATTCCTTCCTTCTCTGATTCTATTTAGACAGTAGTTTGAAACTTCAACATGGTTTCATAGATAAAGCCTTAATTGAGCACTAAGCAAAATTTATAAAAGAAAATTTGGAAAGCTAATGAAAAACACTATACAGTTCTTATTGCAGAATGTCTAAGAAAAATGAAATTAGATTAAGGAACCTATATCGCCCTATGGTTCAGTGTCCTGAAGTGTGGCCTAAGAGAGAGACGTGGGGGAGGATTGATATGATGAAAATTGGTATTAAATGTACTGATCATAAATATTTTTCAAAATTAACAGGTACCAATAATGAAAGGAGAAATTGAAGAATCATTTTTTCACTTCCAAATACATCTTCAAATGAGATGGAATTTTAAGGTGCAGAAAGAATTTCAATAACTACTATTTAGGGCACTGTTCTATGAGTAGAGAAAATGACAAATACACTCTACCACAGGAAGAGGATCTTCAGTGGGCTCTCATGGAAACAGAATATCTTAGTTATATTTTTTCTCCTTGCTGAGACAAAATACCCAACACCCAAAATTAAAGGATGAAAGGTTTATTTTGGCTGTTTGAAGAGGTTTCAGTGCATAATGAGTTGGCTCCAAGGCAGGGTGGCATGATGGAAGGGAGCCACAGAGAGGAAACAGTCCACAGCAGGCAGAAAGCAGCAAAAGCAGCAAGTGGCAACAGCAACTCTCCTTCTGCCCTTTATATTTTACCAGGCTAGCAGCACTTATATCCTTCATCCTAGAATCACAGTGTGAATCTGTGCTATGATCAGATATCATAGAACCAGCTCCCTCTGAAAAGACCCACCTGTGGCAGCATGAGGCATGGGGGGGGGATCTAGATACAAGCCACAGTAGAATAATTATTCATGATAGAACCCTTATGGCAAAAGGGGCACAAATCACAATCTGTTTAAGATAGAAGGTAGGAAGAAACAGGTATTTTATTCTTCAAATGCCTCACACTTAAATTACTTCTTGAAGCAGAAAATATAAATGTGAACACTTTTAGAATTCAGACTGAAATATCCTTTGAAAGTGAAAAAAAAGTGTTTACTTAGAGCAAAATCATTCAGCTATCAGAATTAGAGGGACAGCCTGGCTTGGTGGTGCACGACTGTAATCCCAGCACTTTGAAGGCTGAGGCAGGAGGATCACCATGAGTTTGAGGCCAGCCTGTACTACACAGAGAGTTCAAGGCTAGCCCAAACTAATAGTGAGAACCTGGCTCAAAAACCAACCACCTGTCCACCCAATCACCCACTCAATCAAATGAACAAATACAGAATTAGAGGGAGAAACTGCAACCTACGTAAATCATCAGAAGTAAAAGACACAAGAAATGGAAAAAAGCATTTGCAGTGTATGTAATAAAAAGTTGTGTACCAACTGAAAAATGAACACTTAGGAAATAATAGTAAAACATATAAACCTCAAGAGAAAACACCAAATAAAAAACAAGATCCACGACGTTGTCTGAGGAAACAGGCAGAGGAAGTAGAATGGTGAAACAATACAACTAGTAGGCACACTTAGGATTAAATGAAGGACCGGGTGTACACTCCACAGGCATATCCTCTACTTTGGAGTACACTATAATCTACAGACCAGTGACTTCATTCCAATTCCAGAAAATAAACTGTGCTGTTGTTTCTGGAGACAAATGTGATTCTTTTCACATTTAATAAAAAGTAAACTTGAAAAAATTTCAACCATGACACAGGCATGACCATGTGTGAGACATAGTGAGACTAAGAGACCTCACGTAATGCTTTTCTGTGCAATTTCTATAGGACTCACTTATTGAATGTTTCAAGGTGGTAAAGCTAAAAGAGTACTGCATAGAGACAACTATACCTGATAAATTTATATGAAACAGCACACCTGGATACTCTTAACTCCGCCCAAGGATCAGTGGTAAAAACTTTCTGGAGTTCCTAGGACATTTATATTGTTATTATTGATCATAGAAATAGATGCAGAAAATCTTAAATACCTGGGAATTAACCAAGCCAATGCAGTGAAAGACTTCTACAAACAAAACTAAAATAATCTGAAAAAGGAGACTGTAGAAGAAATCAGAAAATGGAAAGATGTCCCCTGCTCCTGGATAGGCAGAATCAATAGTCAACATAGCCATACTCCCAGAACTGTTATACAGATTCAATGCAGTCCTCATCAAAATAGCGACAACATAATTCACAACCTAAAGAAGACAATTTTAAAAGTCATTTGTAACCAGAAGAGACATAGAATGGCAAAAGCAAGGGCCATGGATTTAGCTCAGTGGTTCCACAGTCTGCCCTGCAAGCGCAAGGATGCAAGTTCGATCCCCGATACCAAAACAAACAAACAAACAAACAAACAGGATGGCAAAAGCAATCTTGGGTTGCTTCCTGCTAGCCTCCAAGTCGGCCCGCCCTCCCTGACCTCTGACCCGGCCGGCTCCACCCACCCTCGGGACGCGCTTCCCGCCTTGAGGACCCAGCGGAAGAGGCCAGGCTGAGCGCCCGCCTGAGAGCGCGCCCTCCAGCTGCAAGAAAGGTGGCCGACGACGCTGGACCCGCGGATCTCAAGGCGGAGAAGCAGAAGACAGAAGTAGCTCTGGGTCCTGGAGGAATGGAGGCCATCCAAGCTCATCCAGGAACTACGGCGATGGGACTCCCTATGACCACATGAGCAGCAGGGTCCTTGGGTCACATGACAATCTCTCTCCACCTTTTGTCAATTCCAGAATACAAAGTAAGACAATTTTTACATTAACTTGCACTCTGAGTGTTTATGATTTACCATGGAAGGAGAAATTGCCTCAAAGCAAGCTTCGGTGTTCAGGAACTTGGATATTTAGCCAGTTTACTATAGAAATCTTAAGTTGCAGAAAAATATAACAATCTATGCTTGTTAAAAGCAAATAAAGGACTAAATTTTACAGTTATGTGGAATTAATTTACGTGATTCTGAATCTCTGTGTAAATTTAGACTAAGCAGTTATCCCAGTGACAGTGTTGAAATGGTAATTTTCTTGGACAAGGTTGAGGGAGTCAAAGTGGTGAATATTTTTAATAATATCATCATTGCACCTGTTGGTTGAGAAGGACATATAGTGTTAGCTGTGAGTTTTTATTTTTGGAGTCATGGAAATAAAATACTATCAGTGGGTTTAGTTTGCTTAAATCAGAGTAGTGCATAAACTAAGATCGAAGTGGATTAAGGACCTAAATATTAAAACAGAAACACTAAACTTTCTGGAAGTAAGGTAGAACTCTTGAAGACATTAGGAAAAGACTTTATGAACAAAACCTCAGTAGCACGGGAACTAGCACAGAGAATCAACAACTGGGATCTCATCTTAATAAAAAGCTTCTGCACTGAAAGAGAAACCACCAACAGAGCTAAGAGACAACCTACAATGTGGGAAAAAAATTTTAGCAGCTGTTCCTCAGACAAAGGACCACTATCTAGAATATGTAAAGAACTTTAAAAGAAAAAATCAGACCTCCCAAATTTAAAGACCCAATTCAAAAATGGGCATCTGAAATGAACAGACATTTCTCAAAGAGGTAAAAGGAGCAAATAAGCATATGAAAAAAATGTTCATCACCCCTGGTCATTCGAGAGATGCAGATGAAAACCACACTGAGATTCCACCTCACCCCAGAAAGAATGGCTGCTATCAAGAAATCAACCAATAACAAATGCTGGTGGGGGTGTGGAGAGAAAGGACACACATGTGTAAATACTGAATAGTTTCTCTGGTGTGAAAAACTAAGTGTAAATAAGGATGAAATGTATAATTGATATAATTGACATTGTGTAACAGGAAGAAAAGGTCTATAAAGGAGCAGGGGAAGTGGGAGAGGTAGGGGAAAGGAAAGAAGGTAAAAGAAAAAATATGAGAAAAGGAAAAAAATGGAAACAAGAGTCTTTGTAAATAGGGAAGGGTGGAGGGGCTGAAGGGAGGGCAGGGGAATGGGAAAAAAATAAGAACCTCTTAAGATACATCATGTAAAGGTACAAGTTCCCAATGATGAATGTAACTGTATTGTACACCTAAAATGTACCAATAAACTTAATGGAAAAAACAAAAGAGAACAATAAAGCATGGATAGGAGGAGACAAGGGGATAGATCTCCTGCAGATAGAAAGTGGTCCTGGGCTAGGGATGTAGCTCAGGGGGACCATGCCTGCCTGGCAAGCACAAGGTCCTGAATTCATTCCTGGGTACCACAAAAAAGAGAGAAAGAAAGAAAAAAGTGGTCCTGGATATAAGGGTGAGGGGAAGGAGAGGAAGGTGAAATTAATAGGACAAAGGTGTGCCATGTATAGGAACCTGATAGCCTTAATGAACGTAAACATTCATAAACATGAAATAAGATTAACAGTATCAACAAGAAGAAAAATGGGGAAAGAGGATTTAGAGGAGGGGATAGGGAGGTGGGAGGGAAGTGGATTCAAAAAGAATCAAGCTGTATCAAGTGACTCTAACCCTTCCACAAGATGATTGTAA